ACATGAACTTGAAAGTCAGGCAACACAGAGTGACCTTAAGAATTTAACTGGCTAGAAGAGATCTTTGAAAACATGAAACATGATCTAACCCAATAACAGGAATTTCCTATTCATTAAACATCTGAAGACGGGCAGCTGCTTCCAACAGTGGGACATGGTAGAACTAAGACTTTTATCATGACCAAATCATAATTCACTGCACAAAGCCTTACAGAACAATAAAGAAGAGTCACAGCGAGAAAGGCATTTGTCGTGGGTGCTGAGATTATAGGGTAAACTATTCTACTCTTTCTTAAAATTTAAGCAAAACATTCTGGGAAGTTATAAAAGAAATACATCAGGTTTATAATGCTAAAGAAAGGAAGCTGGGTTTCGGTGGACAAAAGAGAGGACGGGCAACCATGGCTCAGAGGAAGGAGCACATAAAAGAGTAGATGCAATTTAATACAGTGACAATGTGCCTCCAGTTTAGACAGAGCTTCCCACTTGGTGTGCACATGACTCAAAGTGCATATGACTCAGGGCTGGGTGCAGCCGAGCGTCAGCATTTCTTCCAAACTCCTACACAAAGAAATGCTGCTGACTCATGGGCCATATTTAAACAGCAAGAATTCAAACTTTCTCAAAAAAGCAAAGACCCATTAAGACATGGACAAACTTACATCTCTAAGGCCATAGGAAATGGAAGTCAAAAACTCCCTCATGCAGGAGGTCATGTGGAATGGTTTGTGAAAGTCTTTCTCATGTTATGCTTCTCCTATCAGTGAATATGCACAGTTCTTTCTTGGGCAAAATAATGAATTTAAGGAGCAATTGGCCACAGAGAAAAACACTCATATTTCAATCTGTACTTGCTTTTCCACTTCTTCTTTGCATTTACATTTCTCCTGCACTTTCCTAAAGCCAAGGGGTTTCTGCAAGCCGCTGGAAGACCAGGATGCATACTTATAATTCAGATTGTCAGTGTACTCAAGGATGCACTTGGTTTAAACCAGTGGAACTGAAGTTGTCACCAAACAAAAGCCTTTGTTCAAGTCAATGCAGGCAAGAAAGTTTGCAGAAAACAGAAGCGACCTTGAAGCAAGCAGAGAAATATAGACGGCTCCCTTCCCAGACCCAGGGCGAGCCTCAGACTGTGAATAACTGGGGTGGGAGAAACCCTGCCTTTTAAATGACATGTGAGAAATTTTTCAAAGAAACATATATATATTTCTTGTAATTATGCTAATTTTCTGGTTTCTTTCATAAAGGAAAATTCCCAACACATTTCAAAAATTTGTCCAGATCAAGCACCACTGTAAAATGAAATACACTAAATCAGTAAGCACTATAAATATATGTACATATGATTATTATTATTATTATTATTATTATTATTATTATTATTATTGTCAACAATACACACATTTTTTCAGCTTCTGAGAAAGTCTTTCATAAGCAACAGAGAGAATCCTCAAACACTCACGTTTCTCCTCAGACAAAAACAAGACCTGGAGAAAACATTATAGAAATTTTTGAATTTTTTGCACTAAAACAAGTTGTGTTTTTGAAATGTGTTTTGTATTTATTTATAGTTCTGTTTTGTATTTATTTATAGTTCTCTAATGACAATGAAAGTAAAGAGGTAAAATGTCACAATTAAGAATTATAAAGAGAATTTCAAAAGTTCTTAGGCGTGACCTATAAACAAGACAGGTCAAATTGTAATTTTCTCCAGGAGAAGTGCTGTTCAGCTCCTGGCAGCCAGGAAGCAGAGAGAGGAGGGACCCAGCGACAAATAGTGTTAAGTGAAACTAAATTATCATTGAGGTTTTTTTGGTTTAATTTTTGATTCTAATTCTAGAGAAAGATAACAGTAGATTACAAAGAAAAGCAGGCAACATTTCAATATGTAATGCATTTCAAAACTTCCAAGCTTTGATCAGGATGCAAGGAGAAAAAAATGTACTTAGGCCATTTACCTAATTGTGTGGAACAAATAAGTCATTGATTGATCAGTCTATTTATAAACTAATTAATCTGTTGTTCAGTCAATAATTTTTTAAAAAGTGAAAAGCATTGGGAAGACTGGTTGTTTGGGTCTGTTTTATTTTTTAAATGAAACAGAAACCAAAAACAATACCACAGACACAATGATTAATAGTTATCTACAACAACCTTGTTTTCATTTTAATATCTCCTAACTTGGGAGCCTACAACGCAACCTCATCCTTAGAGTGGGACGACATTGGGTGTTAATTTTCATATTTACATTTGGAGAATAAAATCCTTCCACAGCAAATATTTGAATTATTCCTCTTTCTCAGTGGTATCAGTGACACAAGAATGTAAGAAGTGTGGGGTGCGTGTTTTCACTGCGGTGACGAGAACAACTTAGAGGAGGGATAGTTTATTTCAGGCTCACAGCTTCAGAGGTTCAGCCACGGTTGGCCAGCTCCCCTGCTCTGGGCCTGCCTGAGGCAGTTTTGCTACCAGGGATTGAACCCAGGGGCACTCAGTCACTGAGCCACGTCCCCAGCCCTATTTTGTATTTTACTTAATAACTTACTGAGCTACTTAGTGACTCACTGTAGAGAATCAGATGTAACTGCATTACTATTACTGTTCTTGATGGAGTCTGCCTGCAAACGGGATATTCTGTCAAGGTATAGCTAGGTAACAGCGGACATGCTTGCAAACGGACATGTCTGCTGTCCTTGGGAGGACTTGCCTGCAAACGGGATGTTCTGCCAAGTAGGCTAGGAGGGCGCTGAAAAAAATTTTATTATCTGTTTTTAACAAAGAGCAGAGCTCAACATACTCCTAGCGGAGAATAGATCAGCCATGAGAAGCGGGTCACTTCTGATTAGAAAGTAAAACTTCTGTGTGCTATGTTTAATTAGCTGAAAGACCTGATTTATTGATGTTGGAAGGCTGCCTTCTTTGTTCATAATACTATAAAAAGATTGCTTGTACACAATAAAGGACTTTTTTTTTCTGCTGCTGCTTTGCTTGCTCTGCTTCTTCTTTTTCTTTCCTTTCTCATGCTGACCTGCAAGTGAATTACTGCAACAACTCACAGTTGCTGAGGTTGGCTTTGAACTCATGATTCTTCTGTCAGCCTCCCAAGCCACTGGGAGTACAGGCATGCGCCAGCATGCCCAGCCTGAGTCTGAGTTTTAAGGCTTTCTTTTTTTCTCTCGCACATGTGTGACACCATCCCTTGACTCCCCCCCTCCACCTCAAAACCCAGGAGAGTGGCCCTGCGGGCAGCAGTCAGGGCCTGAGGTCCACAGCTGGGAGACAGGCACTTGTGCATCATTTCCTAGCTCCGTGGCTGGGAGATGAGAGAACCTCCACAGGGCTTTGAAGACAGAAGACAGCAGTTTACGAAAGATCTCTGCTCTGCATAAAAACCAAGCTCCTTTACAACAGGATTAAAATATTGAACCCAAGGCAACCATACTTTAGCATTAACTAGGGGATGCTGCACTCTGGCCTGTCTATTGCCCAGAGCAGTTTTAAATTAAAAGTGCTTTGCACGCCTGGGAGGCAGGCACTGAAGTGAGAGTCTCCCCAGGGTTCACTTGGGCATCATGATGGCCTTGTGACACTCTCCGCAAATGCTCTCTTCTTTTCCAGGAAGGGAGACTGAGTCATGCTAATCCTATGCCTCCCTCCACCCCTGGGGAGCTGAAGAAGGATCTGGGAAGAGTGTTCCTGTGGTCCCTCTGCTGGTCACGGAGACACCTGCCTGCTCAGTGCACAAGCTGCCCCTCCTCCCTGCTGGAGGCTTGTCGGGAACCTCCCTCGGGAGCCCTGATCTGGCTGGCAGGCTGAGTGGGTGAGTCTCCTGGGTGATGGTGCAAGCGTGGTGCCTATTTGGCCATTCTCCAGTGTGCCCACTAGATGATCAGGTGGGTTCCACCTGTCTTCATTGTCTGTTTCTCAGATGGCTGGAAACCCAGAAGGCATATTTATTTGTCGTCCTCAAATACATTAGACATAATCTTCACTGCCAGACAGGAGTCAGGTTCAGAGAAAAGAGTGATCCCTCAAGGCCCCCCTGCTGGAATGCAGCACATTTCATTTCAACTGGAAATGTTTTTTTCTTTCTTCGTGTACTGATTTCCTCTGTTTTTTGAGATACAATTCACAGAGCATAAAATCCACATCTTCAAAATGTACAGTCAGTGTACACTTTTTACACTCTTACAGTTTTACAAATTGGTGTTACCACTGCAACTATCTACTTCTAGAACATTCCACCCCCCCCCCAAAGAAATCTCTCATCCATTAGCAGTCACTCCTGACTTGCCCTGGAAACTGCTAATCCACTTTCTGTCCCTAGGGATTAGTATATTGTGGGCATGTCCTATGTGTGTGTATGGAATATAAAGTCACGTGCTAACACCTGTATGGACATAGCCACACAATATGCACACATCCATGCTAGTGAACGGGAGCTCTGGAAGAGAAACTTTGATCATTGTCTCGTGAGTTAAGCAAACACTTCTCCCTCAACCACCTGAACGTTAATTGGAATGTGTTATCATGGGCTACCTGTGTCTCCTTTTCAGACCTTGAACCCAATAGCAATTTCCATTCTGGCATTTTGCATTTTCAAGCAACCAAGCATCTTGGGAGATACTTTAGACAAGAACAATCAGTTTCATGTCAAGAAAGGACATCTGTGTGTTTTCATTTCCTCTTTGGGAAAGTCAGGGCAGCCTGGGACCCTCAGGGGAGTTTAGCTGGAGTCTAGCAGAGTGTTTAAAACCCGGTGCGTCTCCTGACTCCTGAAGTGGAGCCAATAACTAAAACGATGATGTTTAGGAAAAGCCAGTGGGTTCTCAAACTGTGCTCAGCTGCCACTGCTGACCACTACGTTTTGGTAAACATGTGATCAACATCTCAATATTTCTGACTTTTAGTGGAGAGACAGGCTTGCGGCTGGCAGTGAGGCGGCAGCTCCCTAGAGAGTGAGAGTCCGCACTTCCCAGGGAGCAGCGGACACTTACAGCTTGCTGGACAGTGCGGGGAGGGCGGGCACGATCTCTTCGTAGGGCTCCTCTTGGGCTAAGGCAGGGACAGAGAAAGGCTCTTTCATTTTCTCTTCCCAGGCAATTTCGGCCTTCAGCAGCATCTCCTCGATCAACTCAGAGGCGGCGATGTCTGTAAGACACAGTGAGACCGTCAGACATGGTGGTGGCACAGAGTCCCCGCTTTCCGTCCTCCAGACGAGGCTTGAACACTGAGCTTACCAAGCACGTAGTATAGAGCAAGTGTTTACAGTGGGGACATTTTCAAAAACTATCTTACATCGGTGACCTATTTAACCAAAATGAAGCAACATAAAGACAACTTGCACTGGTTGGTGACTATAAAATAGAAGATCAGGGCGGAGCTAGATTTGGAAGAATTGCCATTTCATCCTAGTAAGCCTCTTCTTGCATGTTGGGGAGCATGGACCAGCACGGCTAAACACTTCAGCAAGCCTGGGTTTTGATAAAAACACCTCCTAGATGCGACTCAATTGGACCAATGGGGAGATGTACAAATAACTCGGCCATGTTATCTGACGGTGGTTCTGGCCTCGCCATGATCTTTCTTGTTCCATTGGAAACATAATTAATACATTTCTTTCCAGATCACACCCAACCGTGATATCTGAATATATCTGGACAACAATATAGATGCACAGCAATTTAATTTATACTTAGCAACCACTGACACCGACACTTGGTAGATCCTGGGGAGAAGTTCACGTTAACACCAATGAAGAGACAGAGGTGCCAGATACCCTTTTTCAGCCCCTGTGATTCTCTAAACCATAAATGTGAGCTCCGTGGCTTGGTGGACTGGTCAAGGTAACTCAGGCGCCATAAGAAGAGACGGATGCCAGAATCTGACCGTTACTTGCCTCAGATTAAACAGCACACATGGGAAGAACTCTGCTTCCTCACGTCGGGAGACCAGGTTCCCATCCCACCCTGGAGCTCTGTTGATGCTCGCTCTCCCCTGACATTCTGTCTTGTCACCCCAAGTTCCAGAAGTGCAAAGTGATGAGAATAGAACGCAGTCCCCCTGAGGACTCATCTGCTCAGCCATCACGTGGTCCAGTTTCTGTCCTCCACGCTCCTCTGTGACCTGCCCAAGGGTCACGTCTTCCCCTGTCTGGGAAAAGCCCTGAGCAGGAACGAGACTAGGTGCTCTCCTCACAGAGCAGGAGGTGCAGAGGCCGTGCCCACCTCCAGGAAATGCACCTTTTTAAAGACGGGGGACAGGCTCCGACTTTCTTCACCTTTCCAGTATGTGTTATTAGGCACACTAGTTAATGTCAGGATTAAGGTGGACTTTCTTTAATGTTGGCTTGATTGTGAACTTTGAGACTACTACTCCATTTATAATTCTATTGTTAGATCTTCTATTTATCTTAGCAGAAAAGACAAAGTAATAAACATTGAACAATAAATAAGAAATGAAGCAAATCCCTCATCCTGGCTTAAATTGCAGGTTTATCACAGTTAATCATGCTCCTACAAGTAATTAAATATAAAATCTCTAGCGTAAAGGACTTTAAAGGAGGTCTAGCAACAGGGAAAATACCAATGTATTCGTACAATACCTTTAACAGTTTTGTATTATTATGTTACTTATGCAGGACTTTTCTCTTTGTGTTTGGAATTCCTCTATTTTTAATATTATGAACTAATAATGAGTAGTTACTTTGTTAAATTCCAAAATCTACAAAACTAATGTGGCATCCATTAATTAAGTATATGAACATATAAAAAGAGGAGTGATAAAAAGAATTATAAAAACCTTCAAAATAATATTCATTAAAAATAAATAAGGGGTTAGGACTATAGCTCAGTAGTAAAGCGCTTGCCTCTCATTCGTGAGGCACTGAGTTCAATCCTCAGCACCACATAAAAATAAATAAAGATACTGTGTGTTCATCTACAATGAAAAATATATATTTAAAAAAATAATATTAAGTCAATATTTAAAAGTTTTAAATTAGCATGAGAGTTTCTTGTGGCATAAATATATGTGCAGAAAAAAATACTATTATTGTTTTAAAATACTATAACAAATATGCACATATTTGGTTGGTATCATGGGAAAGTAATAAAATACTGGTAAAATATATTTTAAAGTAAATGGCACCAAGTGAATCACCGCCTGAAGTTCAATGCACTAGTAATGAGACGCAAGAAAGGAACCGGGACCAGGCACGTGCTCCTGCACATCCTCCTGACAGCACCTGGGGATGCACAGGAGGTTGTGGCCTGAGCGTGGACTGCAGAGGTCTCACCAAGCTGCAGCTGCAGCCAGCTCTCCTTCCCTAGCTGTGCGAAGGAGCTGGGCAGTATCAGGGTTAAAGGAAGACAGGAGACTCCCAGGGGTCCAGCCCCACTTAGCACCTACCTGAGGGCTTCTCTTCGTTACAGTTCACGAGGTTTGGGTTCGCCTGATGCAGCAAAAGAAGTTTCACCAGGTTTGTCTGAAACGTAAAGATGATTGAAATAGGAAACACATTGCCAGACACTGGGGAGTCATTAGTAGAGGCCACTTCCTTTTCAGACAATGCCACATACTTGCACCATTTCAGCAATTTATGTATTCAGAAGAAAAAAACATTTATTGCATGAGGGTTTCATTGTTTAGGACTTGAAGAGGATACTTTAAACTGTTCAAGTTTCTCCTTAGAGAATTTTATGCAGGACATTATATGTCACATGATGCTTTGTTTTTGTTTTATCCATTCATCAAAGTCCAACTTATTGGTATTGTCCATTCATAACAACACCGAGGACATTATAAATCTAAAGTCACGTTCTACAGTTAGGAAAACTCAATCTCATGTTATAAGACTGAAGAGCTCAACGAGAGATTTGTACTGAAAAATGCATACCACACAAAGTGCATATGTATTATTTATATAACGTGAAAGATCAGTAATTAAATAACTTTCAATGTCCCCAACTTTTAGAACTGTCATTGGTAGTGTCTTTGTGTATTTCTCCCCATTACTGCTCCCTTCCTGTATCACCGTGTTGATCACTAGGATGAACTTTGGGTTACTAGTATTTTTCTTCATTTGGTTAGGAAACACATCTAGAAGGATCCCTAATCAACATATTGCTTAATCTTTTATGACCATAATAGAAAATGCAACCCTGGGCTACATATTTTTCTATGTCTTGCTTTCAAGGCGTACCAATGCATTTTTTTAGAATCATGGGAGTTGTTGAGTTGAACTGTTTTATTCTGTTTCCCAACTATGTAGAATTGCATTGTAGAAATATATCACAATTTATTCACCTTCCTTTTAGTGGACATTCAAGCTACTTGTAATTGTTTATTTAGTTTTGCAAATAACGTTCTTATAAATATTCCTGCTTATCTCTCCTGGTGCACACAGGCAGGTGGTGTGTACTTAAGAATAAAAGTGCCAGAATACAGGGAGACAGGGCCAACATCATAGGATGGCTCCAATTCTTTTCAAAAGTGATTATTCAACTTAACACTACCACTCCAAACAAGAGCCCCTGTGGCTCCACCTGCCTGCAATGACTTTACTGTCAGACATTTCAAAGTTTCTAGATTCTGCCATTGGAGAATGGATCACTGGCTAAAGAGGGTGCTGCTTTGGAGATGGTAGCTATGGGATCTGTCTGGCTTTCTTTTTGGTCTAGAATCAAATCCTTGTGGTGTGATTTCTGGGGATTTGCCATTTTTGTTTGAAGCTTTCAAATTTGTCGTCACAACACTGTTGGTGATTGTTGCTGTTTGAATGCTGAGTCCCTTCTAATATTTTCATCCCCCTTGCAGAGGCATTAAAAGATGGGGCCATGAGGGGTGATTAGGCTGGAGGGTTCTGCCTTCATAAATGAATTCATGACCTTAGGAAAGGTCTGGAGGCTGCCATCCAGATCCTTTTTATCCCTCTCACCTCTTCATCTCCTCCAGGTGAGGACACAGCATTTGGCCTGCAGCATTTGAGGCACCATCTTGGAAGCAGAGCCCCAGGCCCCCACCAGACTCCAAACCTGATAGCACCTTGATCCTGGTTGACTTGTCTTAAGAACAGTCAGAGAGACGTTTCTGTACTTTATAAACCACCCAGCGTCTGGAACTTCTCTACCGCAGCAGAGATGCTCTAAGACAGCTGTGTCCCTGCTCTGCCTCTCCCCTCCTGTGTTTTCAAGAGCTGTGCTCTTTACCTGGTTATTGTTTCCTCTGCATGCACAGGATCAGCCAGTTTTTGTGGTCTTTTGTTTTTCTCCCCCTCTCTGGACAAATATTTCTAGAATCTGGTTCATCTAAATCCTTGCAAGAGTCAAGGTTCAGTATTGTTGATCCTTTCTACTACACCCTACCTTTATATTATATTTCAACACTTCTTGTTCTTTTAAAATCCTTATTTCTAATTCTCTCTTATTTTGTTAAACTTCTGTAAATTTTATAAGTTGAACATTTTACTCATTATTAATTTTTAAACTTTATTTTATAATGCAAGCATCTATTATGTTTTACAATGTGGAAGGCTGTGGATTTCCGTTAAACCCTCTTTTTTTTCCCTCTCTTCCATATGGAATATAGACAAGGTATTTCTTTCATTGCAATGCTGTTCCAAGTGTCTTTAAATTGCTGTTATGATTTCTCTTGGTTTATAGAGCACAGAGCGGTCTGAAATGCCTTGTACTTCTGTACAAAGTCATCACCATCATTCTCACTTGCTAAGTGCTGCAGGCAGCCACTTTTCCTAAGCAAGGGCACCAAAATAATGAATCAAACCACAAAACTAGGAGACCTCAACTCAGCTGTTGGGCTGGAAACTAAAAACTTCTTACCTGCATTTTTTGATACTGCTTTTTAAAAATCTAAATTCAACAAAATGCACAGACAAGAAGTATGCACTTCTATATTTGAGCAAACCTGAAACCAGCACCACAATTAAGACCTGGAACATCTTACTTAAAGGTTCTTCTTACAAGAAGTTTTGAAAAGAGTCTGAATTTTATTATTTAAGTTCTTGGATTAATTTTTCAATTTCTATAGGAAGGACAGATAGGATATGGCTGAGATTGCTTCAAATAGATGTGTAACTAGCCAGGGGCACACCTGTAATCAATCCCAGCTACTGAGGAGGCTGAACAGGAGCATCACAAGTTTGAGGCCAGCCTGGGCAATTTTGTGAGGCTCTCTCCAAAAAAAGAAAGAGAGAGAAAAAAAAAAAAACCAGAAGGAGGAGGAGGAGGAGGAGGAAGGGAGAGGGAGGCAGGCAGGCAAAAGAACAGAACAAGGGCTATAACTCAACGGAAGAAACTTCCCTAGAATGTGGAAGGCCCTGGATTCAATCCGCCCACCCCCTACCCCCTCCACACACAGATACTGTTAGTTTTATATTATAATCTTAGCAAATGAACACACAGCTGTGCTTAAACAACACTGATGTACCCCTTACATTTCCGTAGGTGAGGTCTGACACAGACGGTTGGGCTGACATCAGGGTGCAGGTGGTGCGGTGTTCCCCTCGGGGTTAGGGCTGGACCTGCTCTGCATGTGAGGCTCACAGAGTCGGCCATGCTCCCTGGCTCCAGGACCTTTCCAGCACCCTCAGAACAGGGACAGCACTTCTCTTGGCCCTTTCCACAGTTAGGGTCTCCTCTGACTCAGCCAGGATCAGGTCCTTACTTTCAAGGACCCATGTACTACACTGGGCCCCCTGGATAATCCAAGAACGTCTTAGCTCCACATCCTTGATCTCTGCAAAGCTCCCCCTGGTGAGGCAGCCCAAGGACAGGGTCCAGGGCTAGACCAAAGACGTCTCTGCCTCCCCAGTACTTAGGACATCCAGCGTTTCACCATGAGCATGCCGACCTCTGTGTTCTGCAGGCCCCCAGCTACCTCTGCAATGTTCTGTAGTGTTTCAGGGCAGAAGTCTTACACACCGTTTGTTATGTGTGTACACATGTATTTGTGTGTGTGAAGTGTGTATTATATATATATATTTTTGCCATATACTTTCTGTTTATAATGATACTGTGAACAACCTTAGTAAACTCACCTAGTGGTTGTCATTTTTAAAAATGATTTGGAGCTGGGCATGGTGGTGCATACCTGTAATTCCAGCAGCTATGGAGGATGAGGCAGGAGGATCTCAAGTTCAAAGCCAGCTAAAGCAAAAGTGAGGCCCTAAACAACTCAGTGAGACGCTGTCTCTAAGGAAAATACAAAATAGGGCTGGGGGTGTGGCTCAGTGGTGGAATGCCCCTGAGTTCAATCTCTAGTATCTCCCACCCCCCAAAAATTGATTTGGAGGTTCTTTTGGAGTATTAATTGTTTTTTCTCATTTCTTGTGTGTTCCATTTCTATTTCTTGTCTTATCATCTTGATTCAAATATGAATGTCTTCTTCAGGTTCCTTGTTTTATCTTCTGTAATATTTCAGTGGCATCCTTTACCCACTCTGAGCTTCCTGCCCAGGAATCCCCAAAATGTCAATGAGCGCTCCTTTTAGAATTCTCACTACACAACGGATTAGGTCTTCAGTGGTGTGCCCTTTGCTAAAATTGCCACACGCCCATTCAAAATTAGTGTTTTGTTTTGCAGAACACAAACTATTTCAGTAATACTAGGTCTTTTTACACAGAGTGCTTATATTTAGAAGTTTATATTGATTTCTAAATATACAGCTTACTAAAGAAAGAGAAGTTTTCTTCCGAGCTGAAAAATAAGGTGTATATATATAGCACATTTCCCAAGAGGGTAAAATAAAGATATTTGTTTATATTAAAGATCTAAGAGATTTTCTCATTTTTATGTTATTTATTTTTATGTGGTGCTGAGGATCAAACCCAGGACCTTGAATGTGCTCGGTGAGAGCTCAACCGCTGAGCCACCACCCCAGCCCCGATTTTCTCATTTTTAAACCATGGGGAAGAGGGAAAGAAAGGGAGGAAGTAATGAATGGGGGCGGCGGAGAGAAAAAGAGAAGGGAAGTCAAAAATTAAATATGACTCCATTTTTCACAAATTAGAAAAAAGAGTAGTAACCCAAAAGATTTTATACCTTTGTAAAAATGTCAGAGTCTAATGATTATGTTGCTCTTTACAGAACACAAGAAAACCTGTCAATCTCCCAACAATCTACCTTTCTCCCTCTATCTGCAGAAATCATTTCAGTCGCAAAAGCAAAATGTTTTCTATGTGAAAATCCCCAACAATAAAAGTAATTCCATTTGATTTCAGCCCTGCAAAAGTGAACGTTTATGCGTGGAATGAGGAATTCTTTCTGCTCAGGAGCTTTCCTGATCACAGTCGGCACCCAGAAAGACCAGTGCCGACTTGACTCCTTTACTCTGGAAGGTCTGCTTTGACCTCACGAGAATCCTAGGTGAACTTCCTCAGTGAACCAGGTAGACTGTGCAGCCCGACGCCGATCTATCTCCACTCTGGGAAGAGCTGAGAGCCAGCAAAGCCCCCAGCAGAGAGGAGACTGATACTCACAGCACACGTGTGTGCAAAAGGAAACCCTAATTGTGTGAGATTTGAATACACACGAGTTGCTGGATCCTGACTTTACTCATTCTTGGGACATTTGCATTTCAGTCCAGTTAAAATGGGCAACATTAACTCCTTGCTGATCACTCACAGGGGCTCTCTAAAAAGTTGGGAAGTAGCAACGCATGCTCACAGCTACCATTCCGTCCCAGTTCTGGCCCTAGAAGAGACTGATTACCTCATTAAGGCAGAAAATGCAATGTTAAAATCCTCAGAAATTCAGAATTTGTAACCCACTTGAGTTAGTACACCCACACTCTGGCTCATGGCTAAGGTTCTATGTGTAGCAAGGGAATGTCTCCAACTCTGCCACCATGACAGATCCAAGGTGTAAAACTAAATAAATTATTGATATTTATTTATAGTTCAACTGTGATTTCTCATTAAGCGGATAGTTCTGTCTTCATCTTACAGAACAGAGGCTCTCTACTCACTTGGGCAGCTTCCATGTTGTCCTTGCATTTCTTTCCTACAGCACTCCACACAGCAAACCCATTCCCCCTGCGTCTGTCCCCTCCTTAGACTCCTCTGAGGGGATCTTTATTCCATGAAGGGCCAGGGCAGGTGCTGTCTTTCAACTGAGGCATGCCCACAGGAGGACCACATTCCCACGGGGGAGTTTGGAAGTCGTTTTGTCCCTGTGGAGACTTCCCTGTCTGGTCCAGATGCGAAGGGTGGCCCAGCCTGGGGACATCCTTTCCACGAGCAGCCAGTGGAAGCCCAAGGGCATTAGGTTTAAAAAGAGACCAAAACGACACCTCAAAGGATCTAAAGACTAGACTAACCTGTTATGGGAACCTCAGCCTGCCTGACACCCCGGCCCCAACAACAAAAAGGTCAGGATTTGCACGCTAGACCTCAACATGGTGACCACCTGCTGAAATAGATTTACACAGAAATGAGACTCTCAAACCCTGAAATGTGCAAGATACAATTGAAATCATCTGTCATAACAAGATCAGGAGATACAGTGTAAACCAGAAAAGATGATTAACTGACAGAGGAATGATTTTGAATAACCATTGTAACAATGCTTCAACCAGCAACTACAAATCCTCTTGAAACCAATAAAAGAATATAATCTCTCAGAAACAAAACAGTTTATAAGAAAGAATCAAATAGAAACCATAGAACCAGAAAACACAATAAAAAACAATAAATAAGATTCACCAACTCATAATTTGATCAGAAATAAGATAAAATAAGACTCAAATGTTGGTTTCTGATAAAAAAAATCACTAGACTTTTTGAAAAATAACAATATATTTATCCAAGTTGTCTCTTTTAAAAGCTTTATTGAATCTAGTCCTATTAACTGAGAGCTCATTATCCTATGAAAATAGTTAGAAGGAATCTACTTACTATTATTTAAAGTGTTACTTTCCGATCAACAGTCCAAAAGTCCAGTGGGAAAAAATGAGAATTCAGGTAAAATGGAAGCCTAGTTCCTTCAAGTTAGGGTAGCATTCTGCTGCAATTTAATAAGAATCACATGCTTCCAGATGTAGCTTCTTCAAGAAGCAATCCCTGAATACTACAGGACATTTTGATAATTTACTGATGACCATTTCCTTAGCAAAGCCCTCCACGTTGTGTTCCAGTCGACCAGACTTGCCTGCATGCTGAATTCTCTATTTTTTAGTAACATAAATTTTCCAACCCTGAGTGCCCCAATTGCTGCCATGCTAGAAATGGAGTACTGGTGTTGATGGCATCCTCAGCACTGAGCTGCAACCTCCTGTGGCCAGGAGGCCTGGGGTGCTGGAGCCTGAGGTCAAAGCCTCACCTGCCTGTAGCCTCAGCCTCTTATACAGTCCACTCATTCTCACACACAGTTACCTGATGGAAGCACGGTTCAATAGTCTGTTAATTTTGCATACCAAATAAATGAACCCTTTTCTACAGGAAATGTTGTCAAGCAATGTTCTCTTTACTGGAACATTCTCCAAACAATATGTTATTTTTCTATAATGCAGGATATGCAAATGTGTTCAAGTGTTTCAACAAGTGCTTTACTCAAATTTCATGATAGATATTTTGCATTCTGGTTAATATCCAAGAGATTCAATTCACTATAAATTAACTGAATGTAATTTTACCTGAAACTGTTTTGAAATGAACAAATTTAGTTTAATAGTAAATAGTACTAAAACAGCTATTTTTCATACTATTGCTACTAAGACCTTAACAAAATATTATTCATATTTTAGAACTAGGTTTTTTATATCAGTGAATTATTGTGAGCACTCTATCACGTTTACTTATGTAAACCACTAAAGGGTTAGATTTTGATTTTTTGTCATGGTATACCAATGCCTAGAGAGAAACTAACTTGTAAATAGTAACTCAAGATATATCATCTGCAGCCCAAAATCAATCTGGAGAGAAAAATTTGCTATCCAACTTCTTTCATTAAAATTAAATATAATTTATAGATAAAAATATTATATAAATAAGTTTGTTTTAGGTCTACAAAGTAGAGAAAACATAAAATCATTATAGATCTGAGGGATTAGGTTATAAGCCTTATGTTAAGAAAACAGCATTAACTATAAAAGATGTTTATAGGATTTGATTATTTCTCCAGTGATTCTGACCACAAAAGAGCTGTCATAAACCTATATTCTGGCTTGCACTCACGAAGTTAAATATTTTTCTTTAACTATAAAACATTTGGTTTAGTAAGATAATATCATCAAAAGCCAAATTACATAATAATTAGTACATAATTTGAAACAAAAATCAAATACAAAATTCTGTATGGATTATAAAATGATCCTTGGGAACAATTTTAAAAGGGCTTTACCTGGCCGTACTTGGCTGCCAGATGGAGGGGCGTCCAGTACTGGTCATCCACGATATTGAGGTCCCCACCGTGCTCCAGGATAAGTGACACCACGTCCTTGTAGCCACTTGCACAGGCCATGTGTAGCTGTGAGGAGGAGACGTCCTGTCATTCCACTTTTTAAACAGAACAGTGACATCAATGTGGCTTACTGAGTTGTATAAAAAGAGCTGTTTCATAAAACACTGGATCTGAGACACAGAGCACGTCAACAAAAGCCCTGTGATTTTATTCATTACATGTAAGTGGATAGCATTATCACGCTTTGGAGGAAACCTTCTGGCTTATTAAGAGCTCTTATTTTTTTCCTTTGACTCTCATAGTGTGCACATTTTGTCACTCCTATCCTTCCCGAGTTCCTCTTCACTGTGACCTGAATGTTTTAACACACAGGAGGTGACCACAGAATAGTTCACTACGGCCTGACCTCAGGCCAAATCTTCCCTGACTCTCACTCTGCAGGCTGTCCTTGGTGCTGCAGGACGGTTTCAAAGTCAGCCCCAAAACTGTGATCCCTGAGATGCTTATGTACTGGTCAAGGCCCGGGGACCTGGGGAGGATCAGCTGACAGTGACCATTGAACATTCCTCCTGGTTTAGTTCTCCACGGAATCTGAAGTTTAGAAATGAGGCCTCAGGATCTACAAAAATGAGGTCATAGTTTGAAGCATTTGTTTCTATTTTTTAAGTGGGGGAGCTTTGTTTCTAAGGCCTCACCCAAAGTAAACAAAGTTACTCAGGAAGTGTGTGGTGTGATTTGTTGTACAGACACAGGGAGGAAGAGATGGTCAGGAAAGGACCAAGAGAAAACACAACTTAAACCCTGTAAAGCCCTGGCAAGGAGCACTCTTCTTGTTTTTATCATAAAAACAACATAAAGTGAAAAAACACACCCATGCACATACATACACACACACACACACACACACACACACACACAAAGATGGTACTTACAGAAACACCTGTTTTCTACTTTGGACTAACACTCTTCAGTCTGCAGCATACACTCACATGTTTCATTCTTGTTCTATCAACTTCATTAGAACAAGAATGATTCATCTAATTTATAGCACAAACATTAAGACACCATGTTTCTCATTGCTCATCCCACGGTTTGTTACACACAGAATTCACCTCGTTCATATTCTAGCAAACAGTGTCAAGAACCATACATCCACGGGTATCGTAGGATTTAGTCTACTTTCTCCTGGAGATCAAGTCTTCCACCCACTTCTAAATTTATTCTGCATTATTTGAACAATCAGCAAATGATTGTCCAGTTATTCTACACTATCTGCAGTAGCACCTGGATTTCAGAATGCTATACTCTTCATTTTGAGTATAAAACTGACTCTAAAACCAGAGTCAGGAGTGGACACTTTAGTTGGTCTGCAACTGCTACTCAAGACCTCTTGAAGTCATGTGCACAGAGCCAACCCCTGCAGCCGAGAGGTGCTTTCCACAGAGTAAAACCTGGTGCCCACTGTTTGGAACCCCGTCAATGCTTGCCATTGTGTCCTGGGTAGGGGATAAACTAGCACTAGTGAAATGAACAGGCAGAGGGAAACATGAGGGCTGGTGTTTGTACCTCCTGAATTATTATTTCCCTAGAGAAGGAGGTCTGACAAGTCAAAGTCTGTGACAGAGAGGAAGGGGTGCCACCGTACACAGGTGCTGGTTAAGACACAGATGTTCTCAAGAGTTAACCTACTCAGATTGAGCACTTCATTTTCATGTGCTCTGGAACATGGATGGCCTTTTAACAGTTGTATCCTTTTCTGAGGCTTTTGCTTACTTTTAAGAACATTATTAATGTAAACTAAAAGGTCTCTTCACAAGGAGCTGCTTTACATGTGGTCGTCCTGCAGTACTTCTGAGAAGCGAGGGAAGCTCTTTACTAGGTAAGAACCATGTGACTGAAGCCTCTCCCCACTGAGCCTTGTGCTTCTAGTTTTTGTCTTTTGCACGTGACAATTCACCAGCTGGGAAATTAGCCTGGTTTTGAAACCAGCTGTCACTCCAACTCAGAGCACAGAAATCGACCCGCGAACAAAGGCACTTTCTTGTCCTTCTCTCCAATAATACACAGAAAAGCACGGTACAGGGTGCACCTTCCAGAAGGAGACTGCCAGCAAGGACGTCGTCACCATCAGAGACACACCTCAGGGAACTGCCCCTCCCTGGAGGCTGTGGACCCCAGGGAGCCCCAGCTTTTGTTCACTGCTTCTTTCTTGTCAAAGCTCAGAGCTGACCGCCACAGGATGCTGTTATTACAAAGCAATTATGTGCAACTTTTATGCTGTCTGACAAATGGTCACAAGCAATGTCAAAATTGAAGATGGTTGAAAATAATACCAATTTACTGCTCTGTACTGATTCCTTCAATAGCTTCTCTACTGAAGGATACGTGAGCCACGGCTGGAGCATGCACGTTATTTGTCTTTGGCAGCGGTTTTTAAACAAATATAAAGCTGCAATCCTTGTTAGTGTACAGAAAGAAAGGCTCTCTGTTTCTGCCACATGTCAGACAGGACTTTATCACAGGCAAGGAATGGACTATTAATTTAATAGCTCACTTTAATCTGCTTCTGACCACCAGTCCACGGATACTGCCCTCGGAGAGCAAGACCACCAGTCCTCTGAGTGACCGTCCCCTCCACAGGCTCTCAACAGTCCTGGAGGCAACCGTTCGCTGCTCCGTGTCCCTGTGTGCCCTGGGCCTCCCACTCTTCCCATTTCCTCCTTCTCGAGCCTGCCTCCCCTGGTCTCATTTCTGGATGCTCCACTTCTCCCTCATCCCCAGGGTTTGGTTCCCATCCTCTTTCCTTCTGCGCTGACTTGTTGACTTCCTTGGCTGACTCACCTTCTCCTCTTTCTCCCCCGAGGGTTAACACACTTCATCTGTCCTCAGTAAGCCTAACCAGGCATGCTGGGGCTGGGTAAGGTGTACGGGTTGACAAGGCAAAATTTATTTTGGTAATTAGCATTAGGATTATATCAAATTTAATCCAAATTTGATCGATCAATTTCTAATCTACTACAGCTGTGCCTGCAATGGCACGGGGGGTTTCCTGGATTTCTGAACTGAATTAATTTCAGAAGTAATTTGTTTTGCTTAAAGTGAAAATGAGTGTCTCCAATTCGCTATGTCTCAAACTCGCAGTGACAAAGTAACACACAAAAATGATCTTGAACTTGTAGGAAAAGCATGCATGGGAAGAAGGCTTGAAGCAAACACCAACACACATACATGGGTTCCGCCTCGGTGGCAGCCCCTGGACTCTGCACATCCTTCTTTACATATTTACACGTTTTGCAAAATTTCTACGATGAATACGTATTACTTCTATGATCAGCAAAACCTCAGATTGTTTACAGGTTACATCTATTCAATTCTGTGTTTCAGGATCAACTGAAATCCTCTGTTTAAACAATTTCTGAATCAAACACAGTGACCTACCAGGGTCACTCCTTCGTCATTCTTCTCGTTGACATTGCCTCCGGACGACAGGAAGTGCTGGACATCTGTTAGCATACTCATTGGTCTCTGCAGCTTCAGCTGGCGCAGGGAGGTCAGATCCACTCCTGGCGGAGAAAGAACCTTTCAGTATGGACGCAGAGATGCTGTGGGTTCTGCCCGGCTTGCGGGGCATCTTTCAGCATGTCCCGCTGGGGAAGCCCCTTTCCACTGAGGGCGACCACTCTCAGCTCCAGCAGGACTGCTTCCCTCTGCATGCAATCTACTAACTCGAGTACAGTCTTCGAGGGAAGAAAAAATGACCACTGGTTCTATTCTTCAGACTCGTCAGGCTCTGTGGAAGTGCATGCCTTAATATAAACCATCCACACACAATGCCCCAAGTATCTTGAAGTACTTAAATTGAATTGAAGAAAATTACAAAGATATGATTTTTATGCTCTAAGACTTTCTGGTCTCAATAGTCGCTCCTAAAAGCAATGTAGCATCCTGGAATAGAAAAAAAGATTTTAGTAGAAAAGCTGGAGAAATCAAACAACATTTATAGTTTAGTGAATACCATATGGACCCAAGGCTAACTTCTAGTTTTGATAAACAGAGGAACGACCCCCGTGGGTAGCAATGGAGGCAGCTCCAGGAATGTGCATGAGGACCGTCTGTGACTCTCTCTGAGAACTGCCTCTACATCTACAAATTATTTCAAAAGTAACCACTCTAGAAGGATGCTCCCTCTAAACACTCCATGACCATCAGGTTAATGAAGACAACCGACATTGAGAGAAACTCTGTCTTTCCTAACTGAGTGGGTGATTCACACACAGAAAGCCCAGGTCTGCTTACCTCCTGCTCACGCCTCTCATCAGCATTTACTTCAACCCGAAACCTCAACTTCATGATAGCATGACCTTTACGGTAGCTCACCTCTCCTCATTTATGGATAACCTGATCCCAGAAGTGGTTCCAGGCTAAATAAATACTTGCCAAGGACAAATAATTTATCTGCTACAGTTGACAGTGACTATGATGATAATGGAGATGGTGGTGGTGGAGATGGTGGTGGTGATGGTGGGCTTGGGGATGGCGATGGTGGGGGTAGTGGTGATCAGGACGACAGTGGTGGCCAGGATCATGGCGATGGTGATCAGTGCTAGTGGAGATGATGGTGACAGGGCGGGGATGTTGGTGATGGGGAAGTGATGAGGTTCTCTCCCTCTCACCCGTGTTTGCTATCAACCAGCCACTCTGCTGAGCACTTTCTAGGTCTTATGTGATTGAGTCCTTTCACCTGTTTGAGTTTCAATATCTTCAGTCTCTCAGGTAAAAACACAGACCTCAGAGAGTTGAGGCCGTAATTCTCAGTCTCAAGGCGGGAGCCACATTAGACATGTCCCCTCTGCTGGCACTTCCTCTGGTGCTTCCTCATCTGCTCCCTCCATGCTCACCTCGGAGTCTGCGAGGGAAAAGGAGCAGAGGCTCTCAGGAGCCCAGCTGTCCCCGTCTGGGTGCCGGGCCTTTGGATTATATCTGGCCCAACGTGGGCAGGAAACATACCCTGCTCAGTTTCTTCATCTGCAAAGTGGGGCTTTCAGGTTTTGCTTCCCTCATTGTTATGAGAATAAGGTGCATTCAGCATGTCAAACAGCATGGGCAGTAAGAGCTCCAGGAGAGCGAGCTGTGGTTACCAATCAGCCTTCTGTTGAGGATTCCCTCCATTCCTTCAGGTGTGTCTTCCTTTGCAATAGGTAGTCAGGGAGCAGCAAAATAAAGCAAAGTGCAATAATACTTGAAATGGGTAGCTCATTTCGAAGGTATTCCCTGTGGTGGAATGGTGAAGCAGGGACAGTAGCTCTCTCTCACCTTCTGCACCCTGGCATACCACTTCAAAAGAACCAACCGATTTCCCCAAAAGAGCAAGTGAGGTCTGCTATCCACCAGCTAAAACTGTCACTCTATTCTCAGCTTTAAATTATGGAATTTTCCATGTGATTTAATTTTGGAAAATATTATTTCTCCGATGTCAGCATTCAATTTCACCTATGAAATGGCAGTGGAATCTAAGGCCATAGTATTGTGTTAAATTTCCTAATGTTATAGTGTTTACTGATACGTCTTTTAAAAAATTATTTAAGCATGCAATTTAAACTGAATGATAAAAACCAGAACAAGACTCAAAGATGAAAGACAGAAATGAACACACAGATGCACTGCGCCACTCCTTGCTCTCACACTCGCAGCGCCATGTGTCACGGGGAATGATCCTCCCTGTTCTGAAGGTGACACAGGGAACATTCAACCTTGTAGCCTATTAATTTCCAACTAGGTTTTGAGTCAAATATGGTGCCAATTATGATGTGATTTTTGTTACTCGTTCAGAAAAGAAGCACAAGTCTTCTTTTGGTAATACAACGCTAAAGAAATTCTCTCTGGGTGGTCAAGAAAATTTCTCCAACTTCTGCTGAACAAAACCAACCAAGATGGTGAGAGTGCACGGAAAGTCCCTTTTGTAATGGCTATGGGGCCAATTCTCATTTTTTTTAAAAAAAAATTTAGTTTCATTTTCATATTGTTTTCTCAACAATAAAATTAATATAAGGTCTTCTTAGATTTGTTATTTCAAGATAAATCTGGCATTTCTATTAATACAGAATTTGGAAACAAAATCATTTACCTGGACCCCACAGGTTGTTACCTATGAGCTATTACTGCTGCTTGATAGCTCCTGATGCTAACAGACATTTGTGCAAAAACCAGAATTTCATACCCCCCCCCCCCAGTCTCCCAGATCCCTGTCTGTCTTTGCTGAACTCTCCTTCTTCAGGAGATGCTGTTGTGACAACTTGCTCGCTCTCCCTGGAGGCTCTACTGTGCTGTGGCCCTCGCTGTGTGGAGCTGGTGTGGCTGCACCAGGACGCCACCCCAGCCCCTCACAGCTCTCCAAGGCACACCAGCTGGAATGGTGGCCCAGCCCCTCCCTGAGGTGGTGTGAGGGTCCCGGCTCTGTCCAGCCTGTGGCGTCTCAGGGCAAGCATCTCCTTCCATCTTGGTGTTCCCATAAGCTCTGGACGCTGCATTTTTATTCATTAGCTTATGTAATACCAGCATCATCTGAGTATCCAGAAACAGGATTTCACCCTCAAAAAGGAAACAGAGCTAAACGAGCGTTCGCGTTCACCATGAGTGACCCAGGCCGGGGATCAGCTTGGGTTTCTCTAACAGAACCTCAACGCACCCACGTTGTTGTCACCAGAGGGAGGTTCCTAGGAGACCCAAGGAAGCAAGAGGGCTGGGGAGGCCAGTGCGACAGTGGCCCCAGCAGAGAAGGACAGGGTCACACGGGAGGCTTCTGCTGCCCTCCCCCACTTCCTGTGCCCAGTCTGCAACAGGCATCACTGGGCAGTCTCCACACACGGCAGCCCGGCTGCCCTGGCTCTGCAGAGGGGGCTGCTGGAGCAGCGTCTGTATAGACTTCACAAGTCAGAGAAGGTCACCTGGTATCTGGAAACCAAGGACTGGGGCACGGTGAGCAGATGTGGAGGCCACCGAAGCAACCCAGAATAAAGATGTGGATTCACCAAGGCAGAGAGGGTGGCTGGTGAGGGGACCCACTGGGAGGAGAGGCGCCAGGAAGCAGCTTCTGTGAGACTCAGTGACCACCAGACACCAGGGATTTGGGAGAATAAAAATAAGGCTCAGACACCTGTATTCCTGGCTGTAATGGCAAACTGTGGGATAGAGATACAGTGAGAAAGGGTGACGTGAGTCTAACAGGGACATGTCACCTCCACGTGTAGGTCCCTGATGACACTGCATGCCCAGGACTGGAGTGTAGAAAGGGAGTCCGGTGCAGGAATACCCTCGGGACAGGTGACAACACCAACAGCCAACAGGGACTCCAGTCGCCATGTGCCAGGGAAAAGATTTTCAAGGAATAGACCTAGAGACCAACACTCAGGAACCCGAATTCATAAGAGGAACACCCAAGGCCAGCCCCGCGGCAGCTCAAGAGAAGAAAACCAGGAAAAGATCTTCCCAGGAGAGTGGCCAGGGTGGCTGGATGTCACAGAGAGATGAAGTAATGAAGTAGAAGAGGGAGGTGGTCCCTGGGTGCAAGGCCACAGACGGCAGTGTCCACCCTCAGGGGCATTCCCGGGTGTGGGTCAGGTGGAGCTCTGCCCTTCTCAGGACATGGACATACAGATCTCTGGTCTTTTGTCCTGACCACCCCAGCTCCCCCTCCGTGCTCCCTCTCTCACTGGAGTCCACTGTTTCCCTTGCATGGCGGCTGCCTGGCCTTGCCCAGAAGCTCTAGGTTCATCAAGGTTCAATCACCCTGCAGAGCTGTCTCATTTTACAGCCCGGGAAGCTCAGGCGGGGAGCCGAGGTTAATTGCTGTGCCTGAGATTACAGTGTGACTTGCTGGTGACAGTACAATTAGAGCCTGTGACCAGCGATTTTCCATGTAATCAACTTGTTCATGACATGGCCTGCCCCTCCCGCCACCTGCAGCCTGATGTGACAGCATGATAAGTGTCTGATCTGAACCTGTAGGGATGCAGCATGAATGTCCAAGACTGTGGCCACCCAGTTATAATAAGGCAGTGCTGAACTACTGAGAGCTGAATCCCAACGAGACCTCCTCGTGGAACGTCAGAACTGCTGAGGACCCCAGCCCAGGTTGTCACCGCAGACAGCAAAGGCACACCAGCCAGGGGGGAGGGAATGAATGGAACTCACAGTGTTTAGTAAGAACTGGGCAGAGGGTGTGATAAGCAGAAGCAAGACTGGCAGGAGCAGAGCCAGGATGTGACAGATGCGAGGGAGGGGCAGATGGATGGGATGGCAGAGCCAGGCCTCGGTGGTGACAAGCAAGAAACAGAATTAAAAACTGAAGAGGTATTAAATTGAGTTGGCTCCAGCTAACACCCGTTTACACACTGACAGTGACAGCCATGCTTGTGACAGATTTCCTCCAAACCACTCAGACTCAGTCCCTTTTTCTTGTTGTTCTCCTGTCTAACCAATTTTTAATCGACTTCTGAACCCGTGTGGTTTTGTTAGAGAGAACACTGATTTTGCAAACACCAGAACCTCTGAGCTCTCCTGCAGGAGAAGCTCCAGGACGGGGGGCTGTGTGTGGCCCACTGAACCCAGGGCACAGCAGCTGCAGGTGGGCACTGAACACACAGCAGGCACAGGAGGCTGCTCTGCTCTGACGCGGTGCTCTCCAGTGCAGGAGGCTCAGGTCCCCGCCGGGACAGCCATTGCTACTCGCCTTCAGAGCCAATGGGACCATTTCAGGGCTACCAAGCAGTGATCATCCTCTGAGCCCTGCTCAGGATAAACCTTTGTGACATGTGACCTGGACGGGTGCAGCAGGGAACAGGTCTGCATGCAGGGAGCTTCTCGTGAGACAAGAAGGGGCAAATCACCGGATCTTAGCAACTGAAACTCTGTGACCCTTTCCTCTGGCCACTGGTATCCTTGAAAGGATGGGGATTTCCTGATTCTTATTTATTCCTAAATAGCAGGAAAGGGGGGGCAGCTCTTTACCTTCACGCCAGCCAGGGGCAGGGATCCGGTGCCTCCCAGGGCTGCGCTGGCGTCTGTCACTCCCAGGGCTCAGCCTCATCTCTGCAGGCTAGCATCATGTGCCTGAGGCTGTCTCCTGACCATGCTGGTGGATCTGAGTCACAGAGTGGCTTCCAGGGTGCTGCACAGCCTGCCCCTACCCAAGTCCTCACTGTCTGAACTCCTGCTAGGACCACCGGCTCCCAGGGGAACACTCCTGAGATGACTTCGCACTCATTAGCTCAAAATTCAATTGTGCTGGTTCACGTCCTTCCCCTCCCGGGGGGTGGGGAGGGAGAACAGATGATAATACAACCCCAGTGCCACTAATTCTGGACCTCAGAGGCCTCTCAAATGTCCCTCCTCGTTGCCTCTGTATTTCTGCCGGTTTGCAGAAAGCTGTGTGGATTAAACGTATGGTGCAGAGCGGAGACGGCCGTGGGGGGCATGGGAAAATGCCTGATTTATACCACATCAGCCACACCAGTGGGCCATTCTGCCAGCCCAGCTCCTCTACAGCCTCTTTCACAAGCTGCAGCTCACCGTTTTCATCCAGGTAGGTCAAGAGGATAGAGCTGGATTCTGTCCCTTCCACAGCATAATCCAGCGGGATATTTCCATTGACGTCCTGGAGAAGGACATTGGCTCCGGCCTATGTGAAAAGAAACAAACAGAAACAAAAAGTGACATTATGTACACCATTAAGATGAAAAAGCTGACCACCAGCTTCCCTTTCAATTTTGGTTGGAAAACAGACCCGGACACAGTTTGTTGGACACAAATCTGCAGATCATAGAGAAAGCCAGAATTAATTCTGACATAATTATACGAAATAGCTTGTGCAGACTCAGGTTTGCAAAACGTTCCTCTGACCCTTGCAACATCATGGCCCAGTGACTTCTCCCACCCCTGCCACTGCACCCACACTATGGGATGGATGGCTGCTACATGGTGTCCAGGTGTGGGCTCCTGCTCTCTGCTGCCCTGTGTCCACACACAGACAATGCCCAAGGCCCTCAGAGACCCTCAGTGAACTCTCCCGTGAATAGGCTGGACTGGGACAATCTTTCTCAGTCCACCACAAAAGTCTCCAAGCTCCTGTTCTCCACAAACACTCTTCTGGGAGCTGTTATCACACTTCATTGATTTAGTAAGGGCTGTGCAAGTCCCCCTGGAACTTTCCAGAACTGTTTTCTAATGAAGAGTGTAAACTGAGTCCCTAATGGACTGACTACATTAAACACAGCTACTCTGATCTTTACTCCAAGGGTCCTTTGTCACCATCACCCTGAGTCCTCTTGCCATACCCATATCCTTCCCAGCTTAGGTACAATGAAAGATTTGCTTTTAAACACTGGTCCCATGAACTGTCCCCACTGCTCCACATTCTTTAACGAGCTCCGTAAACTTTATCAGGCATGGATAACATCTCTTCTCCAAGGGCATGGAGTGAACGTATGCCCCTCAGTCCCAGAAGCAGTATCTGCTTCCTCCATCTGCTATTCCAGTATTTTAAAGAGTTGTCTTGATTACAGCACGTAGTTGACTCCTTTTCTCTAATTAATAATTGTTGGGCTGGGGTTGTGGCTTAGCGGTAGCACACTTGCCTGGCACGTGTGAGGCACTGGGTTTGATTCTCAGCACCATGTATAAATAAATAAAATAAAGGTTTACCAACAACTAAAAAATATTTTAAAAAATAATTATTTATATTCTATCTTCCTTATTAACATTTTGGTAGGAATTCTGGCCCTAGGTGGGTGGCCTCGGGGATAAGCCCTCCAAGATGGGATCTGGGGCGTGGTGCAGTTGTACTGTTAGGCCTGAGCCTGCCGCTGAGGCCCAGGATGGCGGGAAGTGGGAGGTGAGGAACGCAGCAGAGCACACAGTGGTGTTGCACCTCACCAAGCCGCGCCCGCGGTGGACTGTCCTGAAGCGTAAGCTGAAGCAAGGCTTTGGGAGTCCAGGGCGCAGCAGCACTTGCCCATCTGGCAGGGATCATGACTGTGAGCACAGAGGGGTCCCTGGGCTCCCAGGACTGCACTGGGAGGCTTATAAATAAATCAGTGATCCATGAGTGCAAGGCCTCTAGCCATCAGCTCATGTCATGAGGGAACCAGAAAGGTTCCTTCCCAGCCCCTGATTACAGGGTCAGTGGGATCTAGTCTCATCAACGGTCTTATTCTGAAAGCTGCCATTCATTGGTATGGAATGGGATCCGGGACCATGGGTGGGGCCATGTGGTTGGACTCAGATGAGACATAGGATCCTGAAGCCTCCCTTCACCCTGCACACCCCCTGCCAGGGGGAGCAGCTTGCTCTGCGGAGCCTGAGGAGACCCCTCCACTTGCTTCACCTCTGGGGGAAGTGCATGTGGGGCAAATGCCTTCACAGGGATGGACACTCTCTCAGAGACCACCCCTCCCTTTTCTACTGCATTCGACCCTAGAAAGTCAGCATCCTTCAGGGAGAAGCAGGTCCTGGGGCCCAGCGTGAAGTCACTTACACACCTAGAGAATGCCACGATTTCACAGACACATAAAACTTCCACCTCGCAGAAGCACAGATATATGTGCATACACACCTACGCGCACACTCACGCCTCGCTCCTGGAGGACACATGCCAACAGAGGTCCTTAGAGTGACAGGCAAGGGAGGCAGAATCTCCCGAGTCCACCAACATGGCGCACCTGGTAGAGATGCCAGACCTAATGTGACAGCTCCCTGTCATTGGAATGCAGCCAACTGCTTAGCTGTCCCACCAAAATCTGAACATAAAATGGCCTCTTTATAAAGAGGGTGGGGTGCCCAGTGGAGGGCAGGAGGCCTCTGCAGAAGGGGGTGCTCTTGAGGGCTTCCCGTGCTTCCTTTGGTCCTGGTGGCACTGTTGGCAAAGGGGCTTTCTAGTCACTGTGAGAGGGGCTCCAGTGTGACACCCTCCCGCCAGTTCTGAAGGATCTGCAGGAAGCTCCACGGAGACCATAAAGCACTCAGCAAGACGCTTCCTGACAGCCAGAGCCAGCCTGGGAGCCACGGAGGACTTCCCCACATCCACAGGGCCTCAGCCACTCCTCTCCGGGAGGAGCTGGTGAAGTCGGTGGAGGGGCTCTTCCGGGCTTTCCCTCTCCCTGGAGAGCAGCCAGACGCACACGTGCGTCCTGCCATCACTGGGCGCTCCCTTGGCCCACCCAGTAACCAGCCCACAGTGCACATCAACAGTTCCTCACATTAAGAGCCTGGCGTGGCCTCCGTCCTTGTCCCTGGTTGCGTCCTGGTGCTTGTGCTGGAATGAGGGCCGCGGTGGCGCAGCACAGACTCTGGGGCCAGCGGTTCAGTCCTCTCCACCGCGTCTTCACTTGGAGCCCGGGCAGCCTGGGAAGGTCTCCGTGTCTGGGTTTCCTCAGTCGTGACCATCACCAGCTCCAGGTGCAAGGGTCCTGAGTGTGATCCCCTCCGGGTCCTCCCCACACAGAGCTCTGAGACGCAACCTCCCCTCGCGGTCGTTGTCGACCCACATGGCCCCGGGTAAGTGTATGGGTGACTCTTCCCAGATAAGCACCCCGTTCTCCACCAAGGCCAGAACTTGGCACGGGACTCTGGTTGACACCCCTGTCCAGAACCCCCGTCAGTCACATGACCTTGACCAAGTTACCTCCTGCCTTTAGTTTCCAGAGATAGAAAATGGAGATAATGGGTTGTTGTGAAAATGAAATGGATTAAGTCTGGCCAGGTATTAATAACACGGCCCTAGTGCAGGACTGGCCGGTACAGCAATGATGCACATCACGGCTGTGGCAAGGCTAATGCCTCCCACTGAACATACGCCCCTTTCCTGAGACTAAACTGCTGGAGGGTGTCAGAGGGCCTGTTGGAAGCACTTTCACTGGAGCACTGCCAGGAAGTACACACGTGGAGACAAACTCTCGTTAAGTAACCAGACTCCATTCTGGGATGTGTGAAAATAATGTGAATGCTTATTGTGCTTATGGTGAATACCTGTGGCTATTTGTGATGCATTCAACTCTGCAGGGAGAGTGTGAACCTGAGTCAAGAGGTCTAGAGATGGCTGGGCAGCTCCAGCAGTTGACCTTCAGAGCATTCTAGGGTAGACAGGTGGGGAGCTGAGTGCCAGTCCTCCATGCAGTCAATGCCTCAGTGTCCTCCACACTCTGCTCTGGATGCTCATGAGCTCCCAACTCACTCTGGATGCTGGGCCCCTTGTCATGCAGCCATCAAACACCACCTGGCTCCCCCAGCCCTACAACGCAGAAGACCTGCGTTCCATTGGCAATACAAGTGGAGAAGTTCCTCAAAACTGTGTGAAACACTTGCACGTGAAACAAAGTCTGGACCCAAAGCCCGAGATGCAGATCCAGGGCAGCTGGAGTAAAGCATCTTGGCACTTGGAGCTTTCAGTGATTTCCAGGTTACAATGCAACAATTCAGACAAGGCAAAATCTTCCCTTTGGAACTCAGAGGTTCCCGAGTCCATTTCCACAGTGTAACCTGCAGACCTGGAGGAGGAGGAGAGCCGCTGTGCTTCAGACGCCTGAGCAGAGCCGGGAGGTTTTGCTGACCTCCTGCCCCTGCCCATGGCAAAGACCGCCATGTTTCCCCTTTTACATGAAGCAATTTTATGTCGATATTCTTTATTTTTACTGGACTTTAAGATTAGCATGAATGTCCTTCTTGAATATTCTTGGCCTTTACTATCAGTTCAGCTAACTCAGAAGTAAATGTGCAATGTTAATTGATAATGGATTTAACTATGGAGATGATCATCTCCATATGAAAAAATTTCCTCAAAATAATATCAGAGCAGGTCTCCTAACCCCACCAGGAAGGTCTGATTTCATACAAGCCAAAGGGGAAAGGCTCATGGGATTGGGAACCAGTAGCATGTATAAGGTAGCATAGTAGCTTTTATTTATTTATTTATTGGTACCAGGGATTGAACGTAGGGACGCTTAACTACTAAGCCATGCCCCGAATCTATATTTTTTTTTTATTTTGAGACAGGGTCTCACTAAGCTGCTTAGGGCCTTGCTAAGTTGCTGGGGTTGGCTTTGCACTTACGATCCTCCTGCCTCATCCCCCAGAGTGGCTGGGATTATAGGCGTGCACCACTGTGCCTGGTAGGTTTTTATTTTTTAAAATACTTTGAACCATTCAGGCACAGCAAATCAACTTACTCAATTTTGTGAAGTGAGAACAAATAAGTAATTCAATTCAATAAAAATATCATTCTTGGAGTGCCCATTTTTAATAGGAATTTAAGAGTGTGTGTGTGTGTGTGTGTGTGTGTGTGTGTGTGTGTGTGTGGTGTGTTCTAAAACATAATAGAGATACAGGCATGCACTTGGTATTCTTTTTAAAGTGTTGTTTTTGCATCTCACATTTCCCTCCTCTGATGTGAGGGTGCAGTATATGTACAAACAAGGGAAACGGCTCCTGGCTGGGAGACGTGCTGCCCGCCTCCACCGCCTCCCCGCACACAGACCTCCGGCCCTGCTGGTGGGGCCCAGCACTCGACATGGACAATGACATCTCACATGCTGGTGTGAGCAGTGCATTTCTCGCATGCTCGTTCCATTTCAGGGGCTGAGAATCAGGGAAGATGAGGGTTTCAGGCTAAATTTTTCACATACAAAA